TGCCACACAAAGGTTAGTCTGATGTGAAAAGCACGACCTCGCTGTGTTATATTTGATATGTATAAGGTTGGAGCAAGTTGTTCGTAATGGAGACATTCAACGAGATGCTCATCTGGGAATGAAAAAGACTTCTAATCAGGGTGTCACGCACAGAGATCTGAAAGATCTTCCAGGGATGGTGACACTATATTCTGTAAAACTGACGGGTCAGTAGGCAGCGAGTTTATACCTGTTAATCTCTGAGATAGATCTTAATCTGCTCTGGTGCAGGTTTGGTTCAAGGCAGGTATGTGCAACAGTGCAACTTCTGGTACTGATCGGATGCTAAGTAATTACATGGCCGGTACCGATACCGATATTTTGATCTGACAAAGGCAGCTTATGTCTGGGTGAGCAGTGCGTCATGACTTATGAGATTAATCATCAAGTTACTAATTCTTAACACATTTTAATGAGCACTGAATCACTAAATCAGGTTATCAGGTTGTTTTGAAACTGGGGTTTTTGGGGACCTGAAATGTAAACAAACCTGTCTCTTAAGAAGTTTGTGTTAACTTCCATTGTTTAAAAGCGAGGCTATAAATAAAATAGATGTGACAGTCAGTGCAAAAAAGTCCTGACATTTACAGCTACAGCGGGCTACATACTGGACATGGAGGATTGAAACAAAATATCAGCCCTGTTATGCTAGCATCGACCCAATACCTGTTGGTATCGACACAATAGACTTTGTTTTAACTGAAATAAACAGTATTTGTTTTGATCTGCTCGCCTCTGATTCACAGCATAAGTTACCATGGCGATTTAATCCTGTGAGAAGTGAACCCCCTTCATAGTGTAGGTAACCCTGAAGTTACCTACATAAGCCAAAATCCTGCTTTGTAGTTTAAGCTTCTGCTCCGGTATCAGGTTATATTTGTTTTGATCTGCTCGCCTCTGATTCACAGCATAGCTTAAACCAGGTAAAACTTTCACTTTCATACTGCTGAAAGCTCAGATTTAAAGCTCAATACAGCCAAGCTACTGACTTTGCTCTGTACTTCAACGCATCTGTCCAGTTTTCTTTTCTTTTCCACCATAGACTGCATGGTTTCATACAGTTGTGTTTTTCACGAGAGACCCCTGAAGGCCACACTGATTGGAATCTCGGAGCAGCTGAGAGACAAACGCGCTGAGCCCGGAGAGAGACGGGAATGGTTTTGGAAACAGCGGCGTGTTATGAAAGCAGCCGGGAAAGCGCGCAGCTACAGGTGTTATAGCTGCCTGCCGCAGGTAAGTTTCACTCTGAGAAATGTGGGAAACCTCCACAGTGGATAACTCCGCTAGCTGATGGGAAGAAGCTGTTCACTCCGAAGTGAGACCCTAAACTCTACTATTCACAAATGTGTAGTTTTATTTTAGTACATTTAAAAAGTTGTTTTACCTCGAAAATCTGTAATTTGTCACATTTCTTGTACGCAAACGGTTTTACTCCACAAATTAGCTGCACAGTCACGTTTTTAGCAGTCTAAGTAGTTTGCCGTCGGGTTATTCTTCTGTTTTTTCGTTTACATAAAGTGATTTCTCCCCTAAGGCTTACTTTCTGTGGAGAACTTAGCATGCCAAAAGAAACAAGCAAATTAGTTAAATTTTTATTACTTTTCTGTGTCAGTTGTTATTTGCTTGTTTCCAGCGTAGAGTCATCAATATATTTGCTCTGCTTTGTGTTACGAAATGGACATTCCTGCTGCTTTGCTATCATCTTAGCTAACTGACCTCAGTTATAGAGGCTATAAAATGGAGAGAATCTTTGGGTGTAGGACCTTGTTGCATTGACCGTCTGCTGACCTGACACATTTGGCCATGAACCTAAGAGCCTCACTGCTGCTATTACCCCCACCCTCTGATGGACCCCACGCACCCTATGCATTGCTATAGCATGTTTCATTATTTGCAGGGTATTGTGAATGACTCTGGTATGTGTGCTTTGAACTCCACTATCATATTAGACATTCTTTAAATCCATAGGGAGCAATCCATTCTAATATTGAACTGCTGGAAGCTTGC